TCTCTCTGTGCCCCTGCCTTAGCTTCTGGTGGTTTGCTGGCTGTCTTCAGAGTTCTTTGGCTTCTGCCTTCACCTTCACATGGTGTTTTCCCTGTGTGTGCTTCTGTGCCCAAATTTTCTCTTTTTATAAGGCTAGCAGTCACCTCACCTAACTACTTACATCTTCAATGGCTCTATTTCTAAATAAGGTTACTTTTTAAGGCAATGCAAGTTAGGAATTCACTGTATGATTTTAAGAGGGAGGACGTCAAACCCAGAAGAGCCCTCATGGTCATAATATGTTCTTCCTCTCAGTGTAAGCTTTGACTAAATCCCTATACAATTATAGTTTATTACATCTCAAGAGGCAATTACATTCCCCTTCATTCTGACATTGTGATTTTTATAATAATTGCACAGGGAATGCTTCCTCTTTATCATCAAGGGGTAGTTTCTGCGTCACCCTTACACACGCCTAAATCAGTGCTTCCTAAACTGTTAAGGACATTTCCTTACCTGGGGACTCTTGGCAAAATGTAGAGTGAGGTTCAGGAGCCCTGGGGTGAAGATTGAGAGTCTGTGTGTCTAACACACTCCCAGCTGATGATGGTGGTGTGGCGGTGGTGGTGAGGACGACGATCTGAGAACCACATTGTGAGTGGAATGATGCCCAGGTTCCTCTACAAGCCATGGGTCAGAAGTTAAGCCACCCGGAAATAAAACATTAAGAAGCAAATTTTAAAAATCCTCAGCAAAAGACAATACCTCGTACTCTTAACTATTGATATTATTTATAGAGAATGAAATCATGTGAACAGATTTTTCATTATAAACTGACCCTGTCACCATGGACACCTGTTAGAATGTACACAAAGACGACGTCAAGGCTTCCTGTTTCTTTTAGCTCTGTTTCAAATGACTTTGTGAAAGAGGGCTCATTAACCTACGATCAGCAGAACAAGAATTCATTATCTAGGACTTAATGAACTGTTTAATTGTCTTAATTTTGGTTAATGTTCTACTTTCTAACAGACATATGAGAAACCCATTCCTTTCCTGCCTATCTCTAACCCTCAACTTAATAGGCTGTACTTGAACTAAGTGGAATAAAACACTCTTTAAATGGTTTATTATTCCGACTGTCACCTTAGACTGAGAAAATCTTATAAAGATTCTAAAATAAGTTATAAACTAATATAATAAAACTGTTTCTGTAAAAATAATATTTCCTGCTAGCCCATGGCACTTCTTCCATGCAGACTGCAGCTGGGCTATTTAATGTTTATTGACTCAGAGTCGGGGTGGGAGGGGTTGTCATAATACAAAGATACTGGGAACAATAGCAAATTCTTGGCTTTGAAGTTTCAAAAGCCAAGTTCAAGGATTAGTCATTACTTGGAAGAGAAGATTATGCATCTTTCAGAGTTCAGGTCCGGATTTGAGTGCAAAGTGACAGTGGGCCCTGCCTTCCGCACCCTCCATCCTGATCCCAAGGCAATGGCCCAGAACTAATATGGGTCTAGATACCCCTGAATCTAGCAGGGTGCAGGGTCCAAAGAAACGGCTACATGGGGCGTCTAGGCAAGAGGCTTGAAGACAGTCTCGCAGGTTCCCATTATCTCTACAGTGTGTAACTCAACAGGTGGTTTTCTCACCAACGATGGGAAGAATAGAATACTTCCCAAGAACTTAAGAGGAGATTGAAATTTGCTGTGAATGAGAGATATGCAAGAACAATCTACATAGCTAGAGAATATATGGCTGAGGATCAGAAAGGTCCAAGTACACCTCAGCAACTGGTAGCAGAGGCAGATGACATCAGAGGACCAGGTACCTCACCCCTCTCAGCTTCATTACTCCCTCCCCAACACATATCCAAGGAGAAGAAAGCTTAACTTTCTTCACAGACCAAAATGGAATTTGTAAAGGAAACCAAGTTCAACTATGAATCATACATGAAGCCATTACCGGTGCTGAGTCCATAGTCAGAGATTCATGACCAATTAATTTATTTAGCTTACCTTTACATTTTACTTTATCTTCCCACACCCAGTGATATGTTACATATAGTGTGTACTCTGCAACCACTTAACACAACGCATTTATTCACTTGGTTCTGTGTTTGTACAACTATCTGAGGACATAGCCCTCTCTTCATAGATTCTAATGGCCGCCACTAGCCATACGTGGCTGTTGAGGACACGCAATGTGGCTAGTCTGGATTGAAATGTACTGCACACATAATACACACATGAAATTTTGAGGACTTAGCATAATAACAAGAAAGTAAATGTCACACTAATATTTCTATAATTACTGCGCATTTATAGTATTTTGGACATACTGAGCTAGATAAAAATATATTTTTAAACGGAACGTCACCTGTTTCTTTATGCTTTCAAAAAATGTGCATACCAGAAAATGAAGATTTTCCAGTGTGACTAACATTTTATTTCTCTTGGACAATACTGCCCTCTATGTTCTCTCATGTTGCTCTCATTTACTTTCACCAGCGTAACCATCATCATGGCTTAATTTTTTCCATGTGGAAAATAATTAAAATTAGAATTTAATTTTTCCATTTGGACACTCAATGATTATATGTCTAGCATTTCCTGACAGGGTGTACTGAAAATTACATAGAAAAAAAATGAGATGTCTTACATCTCATTTCCTGATAATTGGGAATGATCAGTCAGTCTGTAATTTGTACAAAAAAGAAACAGATTTTCTTTTATGTAATTAAGGCCAAGCCATTAATACCTCTGATATTTACTTAAAAATGCTTGGCAACTAAATGGATATAATTAAGAAATTTTCACAAGTGAAATAGGTATCAAAACAATGAGAAAAAATTGGAGTTTTCAAATTTTATTAGATTTATTATCTAGTTCATCATTTTATTTATGTTGATACATTAAAATAGAATAATTTGGCAAGGTTTTAATTACCAAGAAGCTATTTATTAGTGTACAAGGGAACTACAGAGATAGTGCACTAATCAAGGGCTAATAGAGCATCTTAGATTCTACACCTTTAGCCCTGATGTTGACCATTGAGAAAGGAACTGTGAACTTCACTTAGGTCAGCTTCCACTGGATGTCTCACAGGCTTCTCGGACTAGTATGTCCAAGAAAGTACCCTGCATTAGTGCTTGATATCCAGACAAAGTCACAATGGCAATGAACATGTTTCTTTATTTTTAAAATGAAGATAAGCTAGGTGCTGCTCAGTCAGACACTGGTGATGCTAGGATGAGGAAGAGGACGAGAAGATATAAATCTTGAAAAAGCTGGAGAAGAGGATAATAAGGTGAATGTTGCTAAAAATAGGATCTTTTTTCTCTTATTTTGCTTTTTAAAAAGTATTGTTAAGTATACATTGTGCTAGATATTGGGGATAGGAAACTGATGAAGACAATTTCACTCTAGTGGGGAAGATAGGTAAATACATCATAATCAATTTTAAAAGTGCAGCTAGACATGTCTGCAAGGTTCACAGAACATTAGAGAAATTATAGAATCCATTCGTTCATTTCATTTCTTCAGAGAGCATTTCCCGAGTCCTCACTAAAATTGCCAGAAGCAGCCTAGTGAAGGTGCTTCTGGGGTTGCAATTCAGGGAGCAAGGATGGAGCTACAAGGACAGGGAGAGATTACGCTGCCTGGGGTGTTCAGACAATGCCAATTGTATAGTTAGCTCTTATCTAAACAAAAAATTAAGGTTGGTAACAAGAGGACTCTAGAAAGGAATGCAATAGACCGGTCTGAAAGGGTGTGGTCTTTTTATTATGACATACCAAACTGCTCTTGGTGGAATCACAAGGGGACACTCATTTTACTGTAGCATCAGTTTTATTAAACATCTGGAGTACAAAAGCACACGTTTTTTATTATTAAAATACGGATGTATTATGTAGTTGATGCAATAGCATGTGAATTAGTAAGATAGGACAGGAAACGAAATTCTACAGCTGGGCAGGGGGAATGACTTTGGCTTTCTCCCCTGAAGCCTCTGGGGCTGGAGTTCAAGGTCCTCAGCTCCCAGACGATGTAGGGCACGATACCCACAGAACGGTGAGCATTTTAAGTGAGCCAGAGAACTTTAGTGAGTTAAGTATACAGACTGGGGAGGGGCGGCAACGCAGGGAACCAGAAGCCCGTGCTCCGGTCTGCTCCCCAGGCCTCTCATTCCCAAAACACCCTCCACCAGGTGCCTCCCCGTGACCAGACAGCACAGAGTGCACGAACTGCCCTTTTCACCTCTGGCGCCTAGTTGCCAGGGCAACCCTCTTCGCCGGCGCTTCTGAGGCCTCCCTGCTATTGGCTTAGTGGTCGTAACGTGCGTCTGACGTCAACACCCGGCGCCACCAGATCCGGGGATCGCGCGAAGCCTCTTAATCCCCAAACTCAAGCGACGGGTCTCGGTACCCAATAACACAGGTTATTGGCCGAGGGGGCGCTGGTGAAAAGCCCCATCTGAGGTGGCGGCTGGAGGGCGGGTGGCAGCGGGCGGGAGGCGCGGTAGGGACGCGTCCCCGGAGCCGTGGGCTGCGGGTGTGGAGACCCGGCGGCGCTGCACGCACTTTCTGGGCCTAGGCGGCTTCCGCTCTGGGGTGTTGCTAGGGCTGGCAGACTCCGTTGCTAAGGACCCGGGTGATGCTGTGAGCCAAAAGTTCCCCCTTTCTTTTCCGGAGTTCGCTTTAATTAGAACTGGCTACTTTTACTTCCACCCTACATTTTAACAAATCTATTTTTCTCCATTTTTCACCTGCACGTCTTTCCCAACTTTGACAACACCCCGTTCCTAATCCCTAATCCCTAGTGCCTAATACCTGGCTTTAGGTATTAGGAAATATATGGTATTGGAGGGGTAGAGGCTAGGAAAATGAAAAGCAAATTATAAGACCCTTATTACTGGCCATTTGGATTTACTATATAGTAAAAGGGGATGCTGTTCTTTGGAGTTAGAAGGAACTTAGAGATGGAGCGTGGCTTCTTTAGTGGGGTGCCTATTACCCTTTTGGGAATTTCTAAACACAGGATTAGAGAATAGAAAATAACCTGGCGTCTGCTCTTGAGACTTGAGCAAGCAGTTTCGTGCAGTGGTGTCAAAGCAGGGTGCGGGGGAAAAGTGCATACAAAGAAAAAGATAGGATTTACGAGCTGTTCAAAACAATGGAAAAAAAAAAGGTATACTTTCCTAACGTTGACATAGATGCCTACAGCTAAGGAAACCGACGGGAAAAATGAGGGTCCCACAGTGGAGCTCTCTGGTACTGTGGTTTAGTGTAGGTATTTGGGTTAAGTGGATTTGTGGATTCTAGAGCCTGTTAGAATCTTCATATAATTTTGTAAGAGAATGGTGGCCTTAGAAAATAACACAAAGCAATTCTTTATTTTTTACTTCCAAGATTACCCTTTCACACTACTCTCTACATGTTAATGAAAATGCACTCAAAAGGGTGGTTGAGCGTGAGGTGAATTAAGCATTTTTCTTTTACAAAGAACTCATGCTGCAGGTTTGTTGTCAGTAACCTACCAGATAGATACTTTTAAAAAATTGACCACAGTTAATCTGTTTTTAAGACAAAAGGAGATACTTTTACCAATAAATGAAAGAAGTACTTGTTTTAGAAAGAAACTAAAGTGTTTCAAAGTGGGTATAAAAATGTTTGCACCATTGCGTATTTGTTGTTATTGCTGAAAATTATGTAAGTATATTATACATAAAAACTGCCCTGTATACTTAAGCCTTTGGAAGCTTTTTTTTTTTTTTTTTGCATGTTTAAAAGTCAAATGAAGACTTTCAGTGGCTTTTTGAATTCATAATGCAGTGCCTTCCCATTAGTATTTTAAAATGAACAGCTTTTTTGACAGAAAGGAGTATACATATTTAATTGCTCCAGCAAAAACGTTTGCAGAATTGGTAGATAGTGTTGAAAAATGTGTGTCATGATTTGATGTGGCAAACTATACACTTGTTACGATTATGGGTAGGCATCTTTGTGATAATATATTTTTCAACTATGTTAGCTGTGACAATTTACGATCAAAACAAACTAAATTTAAACTGGGTCTTCAAATTCACGTAGCCCAAGCTATGAATCCAGGTTTTTCAGAAACAAGGAAACTATTTAGTGACCTTGACCCCACTATTATTGGTGATACTAAAAACCACTTTGTATCATTATAAAGAAAATGCTAAAACTCAATATAGCACTTACTATATGCCAAGCACTTTTCTAAATGTTTTATGGATATTAATTTACCAGTCTTCATCAACATTAAGAGTAGTTATTGTAGTTACTCCAAATTGTAAGGTTGGAAATGAAGCACACAGTTTTTTAAAATAGGAACTTAGATTGTATTGTTCTTCACCAGGAGCTTCTCAAAACAGGTCAGGCACAATCGTAAATACTTAAATAATCACTGAAGTGCTGCATTAGGCCAGCATATTTCAAGCTTGCCTTAGCTTGTCTTAGAATATTATCTGACAAAGTTAATGAGGTATTAATGACCATATTTCTAGAAGATGCCTTGGGAATGAATGTGAAGTATGATATTGGGAAGTTGTCTGCTGGTCATAGGTTGAGAAAATTAGGTCAATGTATTAAATAGAAAAACATTGAAATTTAAACTGTACAGAAGCACTCTAACATTTAGTTTATTTTTACAAGGCAGTCTTATCTGGTCACATCATGTCTGAAATATTACCAGGCTGAATGTTACCACACAGAGCTTTGTCTTCCTTATGAAGATTTCTAATTTGTTAAGTAGATTAAAATCATCTGATATAAGCAATCACGTCAGAAAGTTATCGGTGTTGTCCTGAGGAAGAAAAAACTAAAGAGCTGAGAGTCATTGTCCTCAAATATTTGAAAGCTCTCATTTGGAAACAAGAGGATTTTACCTGTGTTGTCATACAGGAAGATCTTACAGGATAATTGAGTAGTCATATATATGTAATGAGTATATTAAAGGTATGAAGTGTGAAATACTCTAAAAAAAGAATGACTGGAGTGCTGTGCAAGGGAGAGAGGAAGTAAGCGAGCAGAAATAAGAAGGAAGCAGTGCAGAAAGTAGAGTGCCGTGAAAGTGAACACGTGAGAAACGGAGAAGATGGGGAAAGGCTACATGAGTTTAGGATTGGCGCTAGGCCTAGAAATACCGGTAGGCAGCTGGGTGCATGAGTCTGGGTGTGTGTGATGGAGGCTTCTTTGGTAGAGAGAGGTTTAGAAATCATTGATTAGGCGGAACATCACAGGTTATGAACTAGACCCCTTTCATTAACAGAAAAGAGGGAAATATGGAAGAGGGGGAGGTGAACCACAATTGGCTGGTGAGCAAGTTGATGTGTTAACAACAGCCTTAGTAGGCTTGATTTACCTCTCCCTTTTAATAGATGAGGAAATTGAAACTTAGGAAGTTTAAATAATCTGCCTGAATTAAAAAACCTCAACTGGTAGAGATTTAAGTCCCAAGCTCTTTCTACCTCATCATACCATGTTGAACCATCTGTAGGGCTGAGTGTAGGAAGCAAAGAAAAAGGGAAGAGCAATGATCTATGTGTTTTTCAGCCAGATGGACCAGAAAACTGGTGGTACCTTGAGTTAACAAGGGATTTATAACTTCAGTGTGTGTTATAACACCTGGGTTATGTCCCATAGAAGGAGCGTGTGGTACATTGAGTAGGACATTTTATTAAAACACTGCAAAAATAGGACTTGATAGGCAGATGATGATGTTTGGGACTTTGGGAATATAGAAGCCAGAGATGATGGAGACCAAAGGGGATGTGCCAACCACTCCTTTAAAAAATCTTAGTCCATGTTTTCTCTATATAACCAGAGGATTGCAGTTGAGTAACAGTGTATTTTGATAATTTGAAGGGAAAATGTTTTTATACATCCTATTTTTTTATAGCTGGTTTTAGATTTGCTGTTACTGATCTTACTGGAATTGATATAATTTTTTATTTTCTCATTAGTCTTCTAACTATTTTGCTCCTTGTCGTATCTTTCCAATGTGTCTTTTACTGTATTTTCTACTGTGTTCTGTTTTGATCTGCATGTCGTTAGTGAGTTTCTCTCCTCAGGATGTTTGACCAAGCCCTGTCTAACTGCAGGAGCGCAGGGAAGCAATGCAGAGCCCCGAGTGCCACAGAGACACAGGGCTGAGGGACCGGCCAACAGGTACAAATCGTTGCTTTCTAAGTGAAGGGGCGAGCTTTACTGATGACACATTCTGTCATACACATGAACGTGGGGTGAATTTTCTTTTCACCTTTTTTTGTTGTTGATTTTCCTGTTTGTTTGTTTTTTTCCAGGTAATCACGATCAAAGGACATCGTCAAGTCCACAAATAAAGCATAGGATGGCCGTTGAACGAAGCAAATCCGCAGCGTCGGCCAGCTCACCAGAGTCGGCGAGAACAGCTCATCCTCGACCGAGTGATAAACTTAACCCTAAAACAATTAACCCGGTGCGTGCAAAAGAGATTTCTGATTCAGTAGATTTTTTCTCAGTCACGTGCACTTAACATGCTGTTGAACCATTTGAACCTTTCTTCAGCCTCTTTTGTTAGTGTTGGGGTGGTGACGAAGGAAAGGCGTGGGAGTGGGTGGAGCTGAGGGGGCGCAGAGTGGCTATTGGCCACTTTCGGTGTGTCCTGTCCCAGTCATGGGTGTGCACTGTAGAATATAAAACAAATTGCTTCTCAGCCTCATTTTTTATTTGCTACGATTATTTGACTTTCTGATACCAATGAATAAACTTATATTTAGTTGTCATGGGATGAATTACAGGCCTCCGTAGTTACATGAAAGTTTGTAACCATTTTCCTGTGACCTATGAATTTGCTCCACCAAACATCCTAACTCTAGTATTGCCTCCTTTTGCCTATTCCCAGCAATTTATTCAGATTTAACAAACATGAGATTTAGGCACGGGAAAGTGCATAACTGTGTGTAGATCAGTGAATTATCCAAAAGTGAACACACCTGTGCAACATCGGGTGTGTATGGCCCAGCCTTGCATAGGGTGAGATGATAGTGGTTTTAGCCCTTGAAAGGGATTATGAGAGTAGCTGACGCTCTGATTTTGATGGCAGGTGAAATATAGCAGATACTTAGGCAAGGATACAGTGAGTGATCCAAGAAACAGGATGTTATCTGACTTAGAAAAGAAAAACAAAAACCTGTTGGAGTGTGTTCCTTTGCTTCTTTCTGTAACTTGCTCAGTGTCAAGGAAGTTGAAATCCTAAAGAATGCCCTGATATTTTTCTTGCTGTTGCTTCCTTTGCCCATATTTAATTGATTTGTCTGAAATTTTTTCCCCAGTATAAGCAACATTTTTTTTCCAGTTAATTTCCTTATCTGATACGATTCTTACTTAAAAACAATTTTTAAAACATTTTTCTTAGCAGGAATTATAACTTGATGAATAAAATATTACTATTGCTGTGAATTACTATGCAGAACATGGATTGAGCTTCGTGAATGAATCTTTTATTGTGATATTTTATTTTAATGAAATTTCATATGTATTTTTACTCAAAACGTGTTGTTCCAGAGGAAAAGGGCTAATTCTAAACTTAAACTTCTAAGTATATTTTTGAATTACTGTATGTAATTAAAAATTTTTTTAGCTAGTTATGCATGGTAAGTTTTTATTTTATATTTTAAACAACTATGTTTCATTTGATTATATTCAGAGTACCATGTTGTGAAATACTTACTTTTTATACCTTAATGTCTCTGATTAATTATATTGAAACTATATATATGGTGGTTTTTTAACTGTTGTGATTGATCATCTCCTAAATCACCTTTGATAGTATGTTCAGGTTTTATCTATTCTTAAGATAATAATGCACAGCGAAACTGAAAGTTGTGAAGTTATATATCTAGGCAAGCACATGTGGACATATATTTGTGAGAGTCTTGCTCAGTCTCCAGCTCTATCGCCCCTGCCCAATGTAAGCCTTTGTTTTTTCTCGAAGCAGAAAGCCAGTTTGAGAAATAAGAGGCTCTCTGACCATCCAGAGCATCCACACTTAGCCGGAGGACAAGTAGGAAATGTGTTGAAGGCTGACCACAAATATGCTTTCCCTCACGTAACACCTCTTCTCCCTTCAGCTTTTACCTTAGGTCACCATGGGGAGGTGTTATCTTATTATATGTATGATACTTATATTTAGCTGTATTCATTCGTTATATATCTAGGGTTTGGGCACCTTCAAGCCTTCTGAAACACTATTAAGGGTGAAAGGAAACATACGAAGTGTGTGTGTGGTTTTGTATGCAGTCCCGAGAGGACGGATGAATTTTCCCAGTTGCATTGCTGAGTAGAATGATGTGCTGGAAAGTTGAAAGTGCCTGGAAAGTCAGAGTGTTCTTTTGCCTCTGACCTGAGTAGGATTAAAATTGATTAGATATCACAAAGTGGAGGTGATAGTAATATTTATTGTATTCTTGTCATATTTTATTTCAGTTTGGTGAACAATCACGAGCCCCTTCTGCATTTGCAGCTGTTTACTCTAAAGGAGGTATTCCTTGCAGGTAAAATCAATAAAAGTTATAACTCACCATGTTACACTGTGTTATTCAAAATAATTGAGTAAAATCAATAGAGTATTCAGTTTAAGTGTATTGAAAGTTTTATTTACAAGGGAGGTTGAAATAAAGACGTGGTTTACACTTTTGGGCTGTTGGATTGGTATAGATCCTGGGACCTTGTTGAAGAACATAATTTTAATTCCAAAATAGAATTATCAATAGATCTCCAGTAAACCACCAAATAATTTAAGAAATTGATTGAACCAGTTTCTAAAACAATGTAACATTCACTGGCTTGGGCAGGTTACAAATAAATAATTCTATTTTGTTTGTAACCTGAAAATTGACAATTTAATGAAATTAATTATATTATTTTTTGGAATTATTTTTTGAAATTTTAAATATAGAAAATTTTAAAGATTTCAAAATTATATTTGTTGAAATATTTCTTAATGGGTACATATGTCTGTTTTTGCTTACTTTTGATAAAATTTTTGCCACCTTTCTGGAGACAAATCAGAATTATATTAAGGAAAACAATATAGGTTACTAATAGAGTGATATTATTGTAAGATTTCACTCTCTAGAAACATTTATTTCTTGAGTATATCCAGTTTTAGCCTGATAGAGGTGATAGAAAATTTTATTTATTTCCATTGTGGAAAGAATAATCACAACATCCTTTTCTGTTTTGCTTTATTTTTCTATTATTTAAGAAATGTAGTTTTTAATGGTGTTTTGAGATTTGGTGGACTATGATATTCTAAATTGAAACCCTGTTAACATTCTTAGACTTCCTTCCCCACCCTGAGCAATTTATTGTTGCTAAAAATATAAAACAATGTTACCTCTTGCTATTTGGAAGATAACGAAGGAAGGAGTCAGGAAGTCGAGAACCTTGGGGGATGGTTGAGAAAGAAGTTCACTGTTCAGAACTGCGGTGATGGTGTGATGTGTGTATTCACACATCAACACTTAGCATGTTGTGCACTTGAAAGAAGCGCAGGTCATTGCGTGGAGGTGTGCCTCTGTGCAGCTTGTTTAAGAGACAGAAGCAGCAGCGGTAACTTTAATTCCAGGGGTTACCGCTTTGTCACCTGCATGGGCCGTGCTGCCTTCCTGGTGTCCGCTTGCCCTTGCACGCGGATAAAACCTGGTTTGACTTCAGCCCGTCTGTGTCAGGGCTCAGTAATCTATGTATCTGAAAAACAATCTGTTATAAAGTAAGTGATTGTTTCTAAATATTTTGTTTGTACTTTTTATCTTCAGTAGATTATTTTGTTATAATTATGACTGAAACATACAATGGTAACATTTGCATTGTTACAATATATAACATGCTTGAGCCCCAAAACTAGATTTAGCAAATACAGGTTGTTAAGGTTTCCAACAAACAATTTTGCTGAAAGGGGAAGGATTTACAGGATTATAATCATTGCTTTATAAGGTGTCTGTAGTATGGTTTGAAATCATGGTTTGTCTACTTGTTACAAAATAATTCTAATATGATTATGTTCTAGAAAGAGAGTATATGTGTTAGATAATCACAGCTTAATATGTAATTATATTGTTTTTGTTACATTCACTGTTTTTTTATACTGTAGACTGGTCCATGGGTCAGTAAAACACAGATTACAGTGGGAATGTCCTCCTGAAAATCTTCCATTTGATCCTCTTCTCATTACTTTAGCTGAGGTAAAGAAATACTCCATCTCTCCCAAGTATTTATGGGAAAAAATCTTTTTAAATTGCATTAAATATTATTTTGTAACTCATCAGTAAATTGAAATCTTTACTTTTGAATTAAGAACCAAACAATAGGCATTAAAACACTACACTGTCTTAGGAACTAAATATACAGGTAATTGGCATTTGATTATTAGAAACTAATTAATTAGCTTTATAAGCATGAGATTAGTCTACACAGGTATTTATAGGTAATATATTCATAATTAAAATATAAAATTACTTAGATCAATGTGGAGGAAGGTCTTTGTTGAACCAGTCAAATCGGGACATCATGGTTTAAATTTAACCATTTGTTTCGTTTTTGGTTTTTGTCAGGGTCTGAGGGAGACTAAACATCCATACACCTTTGTTTCAAAGGAGGGTTTTAGAGAGTTACTGTTGGTCCAAGATGCGCCTGAAAAAGCTGTGCCTTTGCTTCCTAGACTGATCCCTGTGCTAAAGGCAGCCCTGGTATGTTCTTTATTCTTTGGGTTTCTATGGTACAGTTAGGATATTTTATATCTTCCTTTTCTTCCAAATTATATGCAAATTAGCTTTTTTACCTGTTATTTTTATGCGTGTGCAGAATTAAGTTACTCTTATTCAGAGCCAGATTATTACTTACTTGAAAACACCTTTAAAGCATGTACTCAAGGTAAAATGGGACATTTTGAGTAACTAGAGAAAAGAATGAACCTCAAAGCAGTCTTTCTGCATATGACGATATATCTTAATGTTTCAGTCAAGCTAAAATTTGTATGTTGCTTCTACGTGTCTTGCATTAAAGGTTTTTTTTTTAAATTCTGGGTTTGGTTGATTATCTTCTAATTTTGAATGTTCAGTCTTATTTTTTTTTCCCCTGGCTTGTCCTTTCTCCCAATACACCCTTCCTTTTTCTTTTCTTTCCCTTCCTACCTGTACACCCGACCACCCAACACTCTGCAGGCTCATTCGGATGATGAAGTGTTTGAAAGAGGATTAAATGCTCTGGTACAGTTAAGTGTTGTTGTGGGTCCTTCTCTAAATGACCATCTGAAACATCTGCTTACAAGTGTAAGTACTGAAAAGATTAGAGAGTGGCTGTGACTGTGTATCATGCACTGTCCCTGTCTCTTCATGATGTAATGGCTTCAAATGATTCAAAACCTCAAAAAAAAAACCCCCAAAAACCAAAGAACAAACTTCATCATCCTAACCACAATCATCCTAGTGATTCATAAAACAATTCAATGATGGACAGTATACTCTAGATTTTTTTAGTTCAAAGCACCTAATGAGCAGCACTGAGAGTTGCAACAGGAAGTTAGCAAAGTTGATGCACGCAAACTGATGAGCAGCGTAATGGTGTCATGTCCATGTTGTTTAGCTATGAATTATAAGCAGAGCTTATCCACCCTCTTGTGTAATTTATATTACTGTTGGAGACACGTGTTTTAGAGACTTAGCTTTCCATCATAGTTTTCCAAACGCTCTTGCAAATTACAAAATGGAAAAGTGTGCAATTTCATATCACACTTACTCTGGATATCATACCGTAGCAGATTTTGTAGGATTGGTATTATTTGAAATAATTGAATTAATTGGTTTTTGTTCCCAAGAAATAGAGTAACATCAATTATATGTGCATTTCAATGAGATATTTCCGAAAAGAAGCCTTGAAGTCTAAAACAAATTAAGTGGTGTTCATGTACTTACTGTACAATAAAGACTCAATGACATTATTTCTGGTTAGCCTGTTTTTTAGTAAAGTTTTACTTATGCTTATGGTGAATATTACTATGTTTTCAAATCATTTTATTTCTCCCAATCTTATTTTTAAAGCTTTCCAAGAGACTAAGGAATAAGAAATTTAAAGAGCCCATCACTAGCGCGTTACAGAAGCTGGAGCAGCACGGTGGAAGTGTAAGTAGTGCATTCTTCTTGTCGTTATCTTGCAGAATTGACTGTATAATATATGCTCTCTCATTTCATCTGCAAGTAGCCATGTGGAGTTGACATTACTGTTCCGTTTTAGAGCTCAGCGTTCGGCCTTGCCTGGGTCACACCGTTTTTCAGCGTTTTTTAGCGCTGGGATTGCGCCCCAGGGAGAATGAGCTCCCGGGCCTGGATGCTTTCACTGTGCTTACGGTGTAGCACTTTGGGTGGCTTGACAGGATTTTTCTTTCCCCTTCATTTTGGATTTTTGGATGTTTTCCTTTGACAATTTAAAAGTTAAAAAAACAGATTAATATAAAGAGCTAATTGAAAAAGAGTATATTCCTCTCATTTGCCATTTTTTCTGTCTAAAAAGTTTATAAGTTTCTCATAATTACAGATTGAAATGAGGTTTCTTCCCGACGTCTGCAATAATCTGCCCGGAAGTGCGTGCGTGCTTGAACGCTGTGTGTGTGCGCGCATGCAGGGGTGACGTAGCTGACTATTTTAACCTGCGAGAAGGTGCAAGAATGTAGAGAATTTCATTATTATCTGTGTGATGTCAAATAACTACATTGAATCTTCGTCTTTTTTTTTTTAAGATTTTATTTTTAGAGAGAGGAGAAGGAAGGGAGAAAGAGAGGGAGAGAAACATTGATGTGAGGGGGAAACATAATTGGTTGTGTCTGGCATGTGCCCCGACTGGGGACCAAACTCGCGATGCGGGCATGTGCCCTGACCAGGAATTGCATCGGTGACCTTTCACTTGGCGGGTTGACGTCCAACTAACTGAGCCACACTGGACAGGGCTGAGTTTTCATCTTTTGAAAGAAGTTTTCAGATATTCCAGTCCTGGAATATTCCCATAAAGCAGTGGTCCCATCTTGTTTTGGAGCCAATATTTAATTGGCTCTTGATGATGGAGTTGCACTGCAGTATTTAGTTTCATTCCAGGTATGTTCTAAAGGATTTAGTTATAAAGAGATTCATATGATCATAGACAGTTTTAAAATAGCAGATGTTTTAGTTTAAGCTTTGCCTAAATTACCCAATTTGACCAATTTCAGTGACTTTAAATTGGCGATATTCTTTGCATGATGAATGCCTCAGATAAAGTTTATGAGGAGGAGGTGATTCCCAAGGCTACTAGGTAATGGGCTTCTTGGTTGTTTGTGCGCCTGGGCTGGGCATTAGCATTCAGACGCTGGTGGTGATGTACCAAACCACCCCCACCCAGGCCTGGGCCGCCCCTAGTCCCTCCGCAGAAAGGGGATTCTTCTCCTTGCAAATGTGCTTGCTGCTCTGACAGCTGGAATGCAAAGTGAGTGTGTCCCTTCCTCCCTGTGAAATCCAAGTAAAGAGATGCTTAATGGTGGCCCAGCTTTGCAATCCAGAACTCTTCCCAGGTTGTTGTTATGCATCCTGGGGACCAGTGTGGGGAACTGGCAGGTAGAAAGGGGCGGGCCCAGCGTGTTAGACTGCAGGGGTGTGCCCAGGGAGGAGGGGCAGTTTTTGCATAAAGTTTAGAAATAGCACATTAAGGTTGTATGCATGTGTGTGGGGGGGTGGAGAGGGGTCCCAAGGGTATAGTTTACCAATCCAGGGTCTCAGAGATAGTTACCAAGGGAGCCTCTTTTACTACTCAATCTTTTTAGTTTTGAATCATGCTAGCACAGAATAAAAAAAGATTTTGAAGTCATATTGGATATTAAGTATTACTTGTTCCTTCAGACTTTTTTCCTATTTGATCTCTCTTAATATCTTACCTTGTATTTTTATGCAATAGGACATTGTAATTTTGCAATTACATCAATTATTATTACATACCAAAGACTGCCTTGGCTTAATTATTTTTGTGCTTGCTTTGGCTAATTGTAGTCCTTCACGAAGTTAATGAATGTTTCTTATTCCCTTCTAAAAGGTAAATATTTATATTCCTTTTTCTCACTTTAAATATCTAGAGATGAGTCTTTAAAAAGGAATCTTCTCAGTGTGTGGTGCCTGATTTCTTAGGGCCTGCCTGTATCACGCACATGGAAAGACTCGACTTCCGGGAAAACAAAAACATCAGTGACAGATGGTCACAGTGTCATTTTCTTAAAACTAACCAGTTTTTAACTGGCCTTAAATTGAAATTGGTTCATTCTGAGCTTGGTTTATTTTTTTATTATAAGTGATGTGTTCAGTTGTTTTAGGTACACGCTTACACACAGCTTGATCTTCGTTGAGCATATGGGAGCATACTACTTGCCAGGTATTTTATGGAGTACTTTTTAGACATTAAACTCATTTAATCTTGACTACAACCCTCAGAGGGAGATTTTGTTCTTATCCCCCTTTAGAGATCTAGAGGCTGAGGTACAGAGACCTAATTACTTCAGGTTTGACCGAGAGTGACAGGCAGAAGCTGGACTCAAATATTGGTATTCTGGTTCCTAACTACGTCTCTAGTTAACTTTTTTTTCTTTCCTTTTTTTTTTTTTTTTTTTTTAAAGAGATAACCTATTTATCTACCTTGGAAAATAGTTTCACTTACTTATTTCGTCATTCTGCTCTTACCCCATTTTGTCTGTTTTGAGTTTCGGATACTTTTTTAAGCATGCTTTTGCAACTGTAAGGCCTGTTAGAAGAACCCTGCATGGTACTAACAAGGCTAATTTTTTTTTTTCTGTTGACAGGGAAGCCTTATCATAATCAAAGCTAAAATTCCAACATACTGCTCCATATGTTGTTGAAGAAAGGAGCTAGCTGACAAGAATCTTCTTACTGCCTAGTGGCAAGTGTTCATCACCAATCATGGATACCTGTGGAGGCTTTTCAGATTCATCTCAGCTTGTGCTTTTGTAAATCACAGCCACCATTCATCATTTACTAGTGTAAGATGGATATACAGAATTCCACTGAATCACAGGAAATTATTCAACAACAAAGAAGAATGGTTAACGATGGAAAGCTATGTTAAAAGTTCTGTGACAGGACAGTTTTGTGGGGGTTATTTTCCGTATTTCTATGGTTTGTGTGAACAACTATTACTGTGTTTATAGCAGATGTGTTTGTATTTATTTTCTAATAACTTTTATTTATAACGTTCCTTTTGTAATCAGTTTGTTGCTGCACACTTATTTCTAGACTTTTTTCCATTTCTGAATTTTATATTTATCAAGGCTATAGAAATTTAAAACAGTGGATATTTGTGAATTCACTATTTATTGTTTGTAAATATGTATTTTATAATATAGAATGCTTGGGAATATTTTTCCAGAGTATTCCAGTTTGAAAATTTTTTTAAATGTGTAAATTCTCTCATAAGTATGTTGTTTATTACAACTCATTAAAGCTACCGGTACTTTAGGTGTTAATTGTATTTAAGTAAATGTTATTTTTGTATTTCATAGTCTGAATTCACTACATGAAGAGATTCAGAAATTAAAATGTTAAAACTCTTACTTGTATTCGGTGATTTTGTTGTGCTTGCTTATGTTGAAAAATTAAATTTAAAAAGATTTTGAAATTCATAGGCATCATTCTGAGTGTTGATGTGACAGAAGCTAACTCTGGATCATTCTACAAGAGAAAGGAGTAGCAGAGAAATAAAAAGGCAAGAAGAAGACCTTCCATCCTAAGGGCACGTCAGCGCCATGGAGACTTGGGTAGTCATGGCACATCCGTGCCAAGCCCATGCCATCCAGTGCTGCTCGAGGGACGGACGGCAGGGGTCACCCTCACACAGGGCGGCAAGACTGCATTCCTAAAGCATCAGAGAAAACACAGCTTTGCTCCTTCCTGGCAATGCCTGGTCTGAGCTCTTCGCAGACTCTAAATAGTCTCACAGCTGAAATTTAAAAGAATAAAAGTAATTTCTGAAGCACCACAATTGCTGAAAAGCTCGCCTTCCTTCAGATCTTTTGGGCTTCCTGGTTCCCCGCCTGATACACGCTTTCTAGGTCTCCCTAGTCACATCGTCCGGTCACATTAGCGACAACGTCCGCCTGCCCCAGCCTCGCTGCTTCTCGTCCTCGCTGCACTCAGCACCATCCAAGGCAAAGACGTCTACAACCTGGAAAACGCCATAAGCAAAATGACTCAATCTAGTGGTTATAGAATGGGTTAGAATAAAAACCTGTCAGATACAGTGGAGTTATAAACATTTTATTTGCTTTCATTTTTTCTTTTTGAAATACAAAATGTGCACATTGAGTTCACACAAACACGCGATGGCGGATTTCAGTGTACATGTATTGTACTACTTTTAATTTCTACACTGGTGATAGCAGGGCAGCTTTCAACATCCTATCTCTACACCAGAATAGATACCTGATTTATTGTTGCAAAGACAGTTGCAAGTTTCCTTCTACTGTCGCCTCTTGGTCTTTGTGATATTTCTGCAGAACAGAAGGTGTGTGCATCTTCGATAATGTGGCAGCTTTACAATTTTGGCTTAAGGGTGTTAAAAAGAATCGGAATTATTGGAGTTCTATGATAAGCTAAATCATAACCCAGTCCAGATAAGTTGCTTAGCACTTGGATTCATTTTCAACTGAACTTTGGTATTGGGATTCTCACTATCATGGAATCACTGCTGGCTTCAAAGTGATTTCCGCTTGCTGTTTCTGGCACACACTGGGGAGATCAAGGTTTCTTTGTCCCTGTTGGCATGTAATAATAAAGGGGCCATGAGGAAGTCAGGGAAAGGGATGCAATAGGCTTTCAATGCTATTAAAATTTACTTCTTATGAAGCATTCCGGGTACTGAAGGACAGGTATCCTCACCCTTTGCATATGCCGACTACAAACACTCCCTTTGTTTCACACCTACGACTTCCACTTAACGGCAATAGGAAACAACCTGGGAGATGGAACAAATCCAAAATTATATACATCGTGTAGACCTCAGCAGTAATACGTATTTATGAAAAATTAAGAAATGCTTATTAAATAAGCTATTAGGCATATGCTGACATTTGGTGGTAAATTAATTTGTTTTATATTTGAAGGATGCCAGATAAACGAATGTTCTTAACAGAAGGCAGAACATCCATGTTAACTGGGACTATGCGTTTGCTTTCTTAAATTGTGGTAATCTTGTTTACTTAAAGTACATAAATAGAATTGCAGCATACAAACATGGAAATTAAACGCACATGCCAATATTTTAGAAGATCATTTAAAATCTTTGGGCTGAATACATACAAATGAGTAGCAAAAAAATAAAAGTAAATAATTAAACTCACTGATAATGTGAAGGTCTTAATAATTCCATGGCTAAGGTACCAATAAAACTATATGCCAGATTCTGTTACTTCTGAATATTCACAGAGTGTGAAATGATTGAAACCATCCCATGAACTCAGTGGCATTATGAAAAGGATGCAAATTGAAAAGTGGAGAACTCAAATTTGGGGGAATTGCTTCATGTTAAACAAAGCTGGTTTGCATAATGTGCCTCAGTGTAAAGCTGAGCAATCTATGCTAAAAGTGGTAGCTCCAACTTTAAGTGTGGTAGAAGAGTTCACATTTGTCTGATTGAGGACGTATTTGACACGTTAAATCACATTTTCAAAGAGCTGCATGGAGCGCATTATGTTTTCATCCTGTAAGGGGAAAAAAAACGGCTGGATTAAATTCAGCATATTTGTGAGGGAAAGTACCAAAAACCCTCACTTAACCTCATTGATAGGTTCTGTGACTAAGCGAAATGAGGTACAGATGTAAACAAGGGTTAAGTTCCTAGGGCGTCTCAGCATTACAATGAAACACTGCTGAATGGATGACATTGAACAGAACAGCTCTCAATAAACAACACTGAAAGAAATAATGTTGTTATAGGACCTGCTGCACATTGTTTTCCTCTAAATACTGCCTTTCTCCTACAACCTCCTATCCCCAAGGCTCAAATACAGAATGTGAATGTAAAGGGCTCCTATCCATGCTCCACATAGGCAGCTGGAGAGCTCATTTTGTTTTGTTGGGTCTACCAAGCTTTAAATATTTCATTTAACTCTTGGTAATAATAGAGTATATTTCTCAAATCAGAATGCCAGAATGGAAATGAGAGAGTCAAAGAGGGTAAGACAAAGGGAACAAGTGCAAATTTTGGCATTCCAGGTGGATCACAGACTTGAACACGTAGAGGGAAACGGGCTTGCGTGTGAGTTAAGAGCCAACTTCTTGAGGAATGGAGGTTGGGGCTTTGGGACATGTTTGTAGTAATTGCACCTTTCCCTGGATATGTTAGGGCTAAATCTGTGCGACCTTTAGGAGCCTTTAAAAGTGGATGATCTCTCAATGCCAGAGAAAGAATTGTTGGGGAAAGCCACTGCCCAGTGGCTCAGTGTGGTGTAGCACATTCCTTAGAAAAATAAGGGACAGACTGGGCATTATGGGAGCACTCGGAGACTGTACGTGAATGGCGTTCGGTGAGCTTTCTGTGGTAATGGTAAACGACAGCTGAACTAAGGATGCCTTCCACTCCTGGAGGCCAAGTCACCGCAGCAGCGCTGAGCAGGCTGTTGCCATCAAATTAATTCTCTCCAAGACCACCAGCTCGAAATATGAGATGGAAACAAGCAGGCGCCGGGAGAGGGAAAGTATATCAATTTATAAATAGAATAGCTAAAGCACCAGCAAACTTCATCTGCATTTTTAAAAGTGTTAACTGTGGTTGTAGCCACACATGAAGTCAAATGATTCTAGGTAAGCTAAAACTGGCCTCCCACCAGCCCGATTTCTCCTCCGAGAGAATTTACCGCTCTCTGCTTTTTTGTTACTGAGGACTATTACTGCTTCAGCCTAAAAGCCATTTCTTGTCCGCAAGCATGAAAGCAATGTGTCTCTTAGAAATTGGCTCTAAGCTTGGCCAATGATGACTGCTTAGCTGTGCCGAAATTCTAACACTATGGAGATATAATAGATGACATATATGTTGTAGGCTAAGTCGAAAGAGCAACTTAAATCTCACATGTTTTATTCTTGGTGATGAATTACTCTCTGAAGGATTTAGGGAACAAAAACTCAGTCTCTGTGCAACATCTGCATCTCCAGGGCTTACCTATGTAGCTGTAGGCACTCTACAGGTGCTGATCAGTTAATGTAGATATTGGTGATCGTTTCAGAGCCATGGGCTAATCTTGCCTGTGTAACAGTGGCAAAGTGAGGCAGATGATCTTTGTATTTTGCTCACTTCATGGTAGATAGCAATACTCAGTCGAGCTATTATGAAAGCAAAAGGGATGGTTCCTTTCCTACTGTTACTTACTTTTTGGCAACTTTCGATGAATTCATCTATAGTAACAACTCCATCTTTATTTTTGTCCATTTTCTGTTCAGAAATAAAAGAACAAAACTATTTATTCAGATTTACCCCCGACATCCTCACACCTGAACCAAATGAGTTGAAGCTGAGCCCACGGCTTATTTAATGGGAGGAACTGCTACAGAGCACAAATTTCTTTTTCTTGAAAAATTTTAAAGACTTTATTTATTTATAGAGGGTAAGGGAAGGAGAAAGAGAGAAAGAAACATCAGTGTGCGGTTGCCTCTCACAAGCCCCCTCTCAAGGACCAGGGCACACACAACTCAAGTGTGTGCCCTGAACTGGGAATCGAGCTGGCAACCCTTTGATTGGCAGACGGGCACTCACCCAATCTACCGAGCCACACAGGCCAGGGTTAGCAAGTCCTTAGCAATAGGGATCATCTGGCTGACTCCTTTTAAGCTCTTGCCTTCTCAGTAGTATGTGGTGTAGACCTGGCGTCGTTGACTCAGAGGTAAAATCCTGCCCTCTAGCTATGCCAGAGCTCAGGTAATGTGCTGACCTTTTCAGAACCTTCGTCTTCTCATCTGTTAAATGGGGCTAATGAGGACTTGTAACCTCAAAGGGGTTCTTGTGAGAATTGAATGCAAAACAAACAAACAAACAAACAAATAAATAAAGTGAAACATGGCACTTGTTTAGTGTTCTGTCTAGGGATACTGTGAATGTTCAGTAAGTAGAGTTATCACTGTTATAATAATTTCAAAACCAAAATCATTAAATTGGTAGGGTGGTGAATATTCTACTCTTTTCTCCCTTTCAGGAAACAGTCTTTCCTTTACATTTTCTTTTGAATCATCATGATACTTTGAAAACAGAAACAATTTCCTCTTAGTTTCTCTCCTGTTTCTCGCTGACTTCTGTTTGCATTCCTACCTGGAAAAATGTCTCCACGTGTTGTCTGGGAGCATCTTCTTTGAGGACAGGATATGTGCATTTACCCATCATGTCGTATATCGCCTTCATTATGTCGAGCATTTCCTGAAAAGCCAAGGGCACTCCAGTGAGGCTGCAAGTCCTGCGCGGGGGCACCGCCCTGAGAGGTTTAATGGGTTATTTCTACCTGGTTTCAAATGTCTCATTTTTCTTTGGTTCTTCATTAAGTGCCTTTTGGTTGTGAGGAAAAGCCAACAGCTTTGTGTGTTAAAAGCAGCAGAATCAGAATATAAGAATTATTTCTGATCTTGGTTTGAAAATGAAGAAAATTCCCACTCATTAAACATGATCAGAAAGAAATATTCTAGTTTAATGTTTGGGTTTCCATAGATAGCACAGACTATCTTTGTTTTGTTGAGTTATTATAGATCTTACATGTTTATTATCAATTTGCTTATTGAGAATAAAATATAACTCCACATCATAAGAATGATACTAAAACTAAGTCTCAAAGCTCATTAGGATTTTCATTTTCATTTGTTTTCTTTTTTTTTAAACTATGGCTTTAACTGAAGGAATTACATGTGTAGATCATCAAATGACTGGAAAACACCTTCAAATTTCATTATTATTTTATTAAAACAAAATCTAGTTTTTGACTTATTTTCAATCTTAGTGAAAATAATATCTAATTATTTAGAAATTCAGATTTATTGTTTGATGTTTTTTTCCTTCATATTGAATTTTCCACATAAAAGAATCTGGATTGAGTAATATACATTCACTTTTGAGAGTATGTAATTCTATTATAAATGATGGACTAGCCTGTAGTTTATAACTCATAGGTGAAACTTTTAAAGATGTTTGGAGTTTAGATAAGTAGTAAGAAGTCTGTTTGCCAGAGACCGAATTCACAAGATGTATTATACGTAAGTAGTAAGAACAGCATGTTTGTGTTAAACAAAGGAAGAGATAAAAAAGGCCTGAAGGACAAAGAGATACCTAATATTCCTGAGGCACCCGAGTACTAAATGCTTATTTTATTATATACCGAATATACAGAGAGCACTAACTATTCAGGGTATGCTCATTATACACAAAAATTAATATTCATGAGGTGTTAATCAGCGACCCACTTGTGAGGAGAATTCTGGACTCTGTGTGTCCTCTGCTCAAGAAACACAAATAAAACCCATGGCTATTGACCAGGTAAATTGTGTCACTGTACAGTGGTCGGGTGCACTTGTTCCTTTGTCTCCAGCAGAGCAAGTTCGTGGCACTGGCCCAGGATACCTTTTATTGGAGGGGCAGAGACACAGGACGTAAGAACACTGAGCCCTCCCAGGCTCCAGGTGATGTGATTCTTTAACCCCACTTGCACCTTATCCTAAATCTGTTAATTTACCTGGTCCCTTTCCCTTTGCTTCTCATTGTGTTTCACGCTGGTTTAACGAACCATTTGATAGGAATATCTTATTTGGTCTGTGGGTCTTTTACTTGCATGGCCTGCCGAGAAGAGTTTGGGGGCCCCCACCATTCCTTCAGGTCACTTTTCACACAATACAAGTCATCACACAATCTACAGGACTTTAAAATGGCATCTGTTTCCATCTGGAGCATGTCATATGGGGGCGAGGAAGGTCACAGACCAAATATTCTGTCATGGTTTGGATACATTTTCTTCCTATCTAATTCCAACCACAGTCTATATTTCATTCACAGTGTTTATTAAAATGCCATTAGGAAACAGAGTATAATCCTTATATGCTTTATATCTACTTTGCAGATTCACCATAAACTATTCTTAATCCATTCCACATTTATTATTAGAATATTTCTCTACCACTGCATGAAATATTTTAGATTAACTGAAAAGGTGACTTCCAAATTAATAATCGCAACTGTTTAACATTTTGAAGTTAAAAAATGAAAATGTCCCAAAGGACAGCTGTTGGTGAAACATTTCTTACTTCTTTAGTGATGTAGCCATCTTTATTTATGTCATACAAATTAAAGGCCCAGTTGAGTTTTTCTTGTACTGTCCCCCGGAGCAAAATAGAAAGACCCTTGATGAAATCCTAAAAAGAAATAAAAAAATCCAATTTGGTATGACATTTCTAAAAAAGTAAAATACAAACTCAGGAAAAATTTTCCCTTAAATGATGAAAGCGAGAGCTGCAACCCTCTGGATTTGGAACCATTTATTTAGCAACATTATCCATGTGCTCTTGGCGATTTGCTTCTCAGAATCCTTTGCGAGCATCAACCACACCTTAGAGGAAACATCCTCATCTTCTCATTGGAAACTGTGACTGAAACCAATTTTGGAACAGGAAATTGTATCAGAACAGATGCCACAAATAGCAAGATGCGTGCTGTAAGTGACACTGGCTTTCCAGTACAAGGGCATGCAATTCTTCCTGTAAAGCATCTAATAAAACAGTTTCTTTCAGAATACACATACATAACATTCTTTCCATGGGGGGGCCAAAAAGCTGTGAAGAGACATGAGGACTGTCCTTAAGCTATGGGCCAGATGTAACCTTACTTAGAAATCAAGTTCTAACATGCATGGTGGCAGCGGTTAAGAGCGTGGAGCTGGGGGGCAGGCTCCCTGACGTCGAGTCCAGCTATGTCACCTGATAGCTTTGTGTTCTCAGACAACATCTTTTTGCCTCAATTTTCCTATCTGTAAAGTGGAGATGATAGCATTTGCTTCTGAAAGCCGGGGGTGTAGGTGGAGTTTGAAGTACATTTTCAGATCAACTTTGGGAGATTTGGCAGGTGTCTCTGGTGAGTCTTCCTACTCAAGGCTGTAGAATACCTTTTCCTCGCTCAAGTTATTTTTGCCATTGAGTGTATTGGTTTCCTATTGTTGGTGCGACCAATTACCACAAATTTTAGTGGTGTGAAATTGCACATTCGTTATCTTACGTTTCTGGAGGTCAGGAATCTAAAAAGGGTTTCAGTGGGCTGACGTGCAATTGGAGGCAGAACTACCTCCCTCCAGGGCGTCTAGAGAGAGACTATGCTCCCTCACTGTCACCAGCTTCTAGAGGCCACCTACATTGCTCAGCGTGTGGCCCCTTCCTTCATCTTTAAAGCACATACTCCAGTGTCTGCTCCTCTGCTGTTGCAGCTTCTCTCCAATCTTTCTGTCCCCCTCTTACAAGGACCCCAGCAATTCCATGGGGCCCATCCAGATACTCCAGGATGAACTCCCCACCTCGAGAACCTTAGTCACATCTGCAAACCTTCTGTTATCTTGAAAGGTAGTGTAGCCACAAGTTCCAGGAATTAGGATGTGGGCTCTTTGGTGGGCCATTGTTTCGTGTAGCAAACTCGGGCATGTTCTAGATGTTTTGGTTTTTTCCAAAGTGTTTGTTCCTATTCCTTAATCATATTTATTTCTAGTATTTTAGTCCTTCTGCTCCTGTTGTAACTGAGGTATTTTCTTCTATTATATATTGTAATTTTTATTTGTATAGTATATATGAAAGCCATTGATTTCTGTATAATAATTCTGTCTGCTGCCAACCAACAGCGTTCCTATTGTATATGACTGTTTTTCAATTGATTCTCCTGGGTTTTTCATTTTATGATTATTTTAGCTTCAAATAGAGTTAATTTTACCTCTTTTTTCTATTTTTAGTACTTTTTAATATATTAAACAATATGTACAATAATAGTAGACTTCCTTATTTTGTTACTGGATTTAATGAGATTATTTCTAGTGTTTATACATTGAGCATGATACTGACTTTTATTATGTTAAGGAAGTATACAATTCCTACTTTATTAAACAAATTTATCAAGAATGACCATTGACCTCTTCTGCAAAAATGGAAAAGCTGAACTTCAAATTCATGTGGAATTACAAGAGGCCCCAAATAGCTAAAACAATATTGAAAAAGAAAAAACAAAGTGGGAGAACTCCAACTTTCCTCTTTTGAAACTCACTGCAGAGCAGTACGGTGTGGCACTGGAACACAGATGCATGTATAAACCAGTGCAATATAGTTCACCATCCAGGAGTAAACGCACACATCTAGGGCCATTGATCTCCAGCAAAGATGCCGAGACCAGCAATGGGGGACGGGGGTCTTTTCAACACCTGGTGCTTCCCTAATGGTTAAAAATGTTAAGCGGGGTGGATACTGAATTCTGGTTTCCATTTTCTTCTGACCAAGCAAAAGAAAGGAAAGGGCATAGAGACTTGCTTTATAATAACCAGTCTTATTCAGTGCAAGCTTTATTGATCTACGGACATTTGCTTAGTGCCTCAGTGCTGGTTACCATGCGAGGGCCCTTAGTCTCCCTGCCTCCCACCTGCTCAAGAGCGCTATCACTTAGAACCACGCATTTGGGGCATTTGCCACAAATAGTTTCATTTACAGATGAGAAAGCTTTAAGTGACTTGCCAAAGGTTAAAACGGTAACTTGGCTAGGCGGTGGCGCATTCAGTAGGGAGTTATACACATATTTTGTATATTTCTTATTTTATGCTCACTTACATAGTTTTGCAAACTTTTTAAAGGTTATTAATTTTCTGTGGCGTGACCTCCCTTGTTTGGGGTTGAACTTCCTTCCACAGTGATTGAGCTACTATTAAATATTTGAAAGACACAGTTTGGGATACTATTAGAAGTTGCATTTGTTTGGAACTAATAAAAGGGGTCAACATGTCTAAAAAATAATAATAAATATATTTTTCAAGATTTGTAGCTTGATTTTATCGTGTAGAAGATATAATGTACTTACCTTGACTGATAAACAATATTGCCTATTTAGGCAATTTAGTGTCTTGATAAGTGATTACAGTCACAGTAAATGAAATTAGAAGAGAGTTCTTTGGTTTGATTTCAGTGGAGGCCATTAAAATTAATGAGTTTTTAAACAACATCATAAATACAAATTATAATAAATATATACACAGAATTCTTGATTTATGTAAAAAATACAGAAAACTGTACTAAAGAAAATTGCAGTAACAAATAATCTATCACCTATTCACACTGAACATTTCCATTTTGTATGCATAGCTTAGCATATATTGATAGTAATGGTCATATGGAATACATATAATTTTGTATATTTCACTTAGAATTATAAACATTTCCCCATATCACTGAAAATTTATTGTGATATCATTTAATAACCACATATTAGGTTGAACCATATGAAATTACTAACTTTTAGACCTTATTTGTCAAGAATAGTAATGTCATATGGTTTAATCTAATAAAATACTCTTGCAATGGCTTCTGAACATTTGAACATTTTGGACCCAAAACCACACTAAGAATTTCATTTTAAATAGCAGCCTATATAGACACACACACACACACACACACACACACACACACACACAGGCGCACACAAAATTATACACCAGAAACTAAAGTTATGACTCTATTTCCATTTTTCTTCTATTAATTTTTTAAGGATCCTTGTCATGAACATCTACATTTATTTTACCACCTACTAATGGTTGCAATTTGGAGTTTGACACACTGCTCTGTCATACAAGTATATTGTAATTTATTTAACCATACTTTCTACTGCTGGATATGTTAATAAATTTAAATTTTTCTTCCTTATAAATAATGCTGTAGTAAACATTTTTCTCTGTTTCCCATTATTTTGACTTATTTCCTTAGGAAAGACATGTGGAAGTCTTGGGTTAAAGAGCCTTGGGATCTTGAAGGTTAACAGCAGCAATGGCTTCAGTTTATTGATGTGTGTATGGCCCTGTGTGAGGCAATTCACATGTAATATTTTGTGTCTGCCTCAGGCAACCAGAGGGAACATGTATTGTTGTCTTTATATTGTAGATGGAGGCTCAGAGATCATATGTGATGGAGCCATGGGCTCTCCAGTGAACAGCAGAATCAGAAATTGACCCCAGACTTCTAAATCAAAGCCCGCGCTCTGATATTTGTAGACGGGATGGATATCTTAATGGTAATTGTAAAGGTTGGATGGTAATTAAATTGTAGAAGTTTATCTTAGACATGATCTAGCAAACATTATGGCTCAGTCTCTCCCTTGTTAGCAGAGAGTCTGTGGCGATAGCTGAGAATGGGGGCTGTAAATCTATAGCCTGGGTATCAAATCTGGCCCACCACCTGTTTTGGGCAATAAAGTTTTATTGGAACAAAGCTACGCCCATTTAGTTAGAATTTGTCTGTTGTTGCTTTAGTGTTACAACAGCAGACTTGAATAGAGATGACAGAGGCTGTGTCTTGCAAAGTTAAAAATATTTACTATTTTGCCCTTTGCAGAAAAGTTTGATGAGCCCTGGTTAAAGGTGTAGGTTTTACAGTCTTAGGCAGAGCTAGGCTTCAGTCCTGGTTCTACCATTTATTAAATGAATGACTTTGGACAAGTCACTTTGTTGCCGGGTGAAAGTAGGCTCTTCCGCAGGAACAAGAGGAAAGCAATCCAAGGACCCATGCACGGGAGGTTATGGGGTGGCGAGATGGTTTATTCGCATGGAAGGCTGCCCCTGGGCTCCCTCTCTGTATGTCCCGCCATGGAAAATCAGGGCCAGAAATGGAGTCCATGCCCAGAGATCCTGTGCCATAGTAAAGCCCAGTACAGTCCAGCATCCGGCTAGTTTAGCTTGTGTTTCCAACTTCAGTCCATTACTGTGCTATGGTGTTCAGGCTCCCTCCTGGGTGCCATGGGCCCTGTGGCTGCTAAGGCCACACGGCTATGGGGAGAAAATGCGGGCACCCACCATGAGCGTGCAGGTCATGGTGAGGGCAGAGAGAAGGAGAAAGAGCTTCTTTGTTCCCCACCCCAGATTATATAAATTTGGGATGGACCAGGTGCCTTTTCAAAATAATCAGTTCATTTCCAGGCTTTCATGGGCATTAGATGAGTTTACACCTCCTAGTTACATTGACTGGCTTCTATGGTCCAGTATCACCCCTGTGCCCCCCAACAATTCAGTACTGGAGGTGGGAAAGAGAGGAGTGTTAATCCCCTTTTGAAACAGAGCGAGGTTCCCCGGACTGTGAAAAGCTGTGGTTTCCTGGGGAGGCAGGCAGGCTTGTGCTCCCCAGTTTATCAAGCTCAATGTCTAATTCTGTTTTGCTCCCCTTCTTAATATCTGGCTAACTGCAGACTTAAAAACTTAATCTCCCTAAGTTAGGCATTCCTTATCAATAACATGTGGCTAGTAATTCAGGTCCTTCACTTTCTGTCTGCAATTCACCACCTCCCTCCAAAACTATTCTTTTGTAAACTAAGAAAACAACAAAAAGCTACTTATTGTGAAGACAGAGGGAGGTGATAAATTTTGCTGCCATAACTTATTTGGTGTCAAAACCTGAAGTTAACTGACATTAAGCTATTTGTAATTCTTTTTTCTATCAATCTATCTATCATCTTCATCATCTTATATATTTCTATTGCATTAATCAGAGGACATTAACAGCTATAACAATACTTGCAAATCTTACTGACTTAGCACAATATAAGCTTATTTGTCACCCACAAACAATGAAATATGAATGCAGAGGGGGCTCTCTTCCACACAGTCATTCAGCGATCCAGGCTCCTTCCACTTTGTTGTGAGACTAACTAAAATATGTGACCTTAAGCCTCCACAGATGGAAAGATAGAGGGAGGAGATGTGGTCCCTTCCACCCACATCTGTTGGGTACAAACTTGGTCTTGGCCCCCCAACTGCAGGACAGGTAGGGATGAGGGCCTTGTCGTGTGATCACAGAGTGGAGCACCTGGACATTAGTAATCAGGAGCAGTCTCTGCCACGATGATTATTTGTCATATTTTTGCTGCACAAATATGACACATTGGATTGTGGCATGCTGCAGACTCTGCTGGAGACATTAAAAATAGAAAGTTCATGCACAGCACTACATTCCTAAGTCTGCAAGACTCTGAATGACAAAACTCTCTGGCTCTGTGGGTTCCAGATCTGACTGTGGATCTGTATGCACTGCGCAGGCAAGATAGTACAGGTGCTAAGAGCTGCATTCGGGGGCCAGACAGCCCAAGTTTGAATCTTGGTTTCCCTACTTTCTGCATGGCCTTGGGCGGGTTATGTAACTCCTCTGTGATTCATTTGCTGAATAGGAGACAGTAGTACTTAAGAAAATTAAATAAGTCTACGTAATTCCCTCAGCACAAGGCCTGCTGCATAGTGAGTGCAAAAGAAAGTTCAGTTAGTATTATTGCGTGTAGCTATTATTATTAATGTTAAATTTATACACATAGTACAGTGACTGATATGCAATATATGCTTATTGTATAATCAGAGGCAAAACTGTCTTTCACATTATTGCATACAGAGCAATCCCTTAGCATTTGCTTGAATGTGTCCAATAATATGAGATTGCTGTTTAATAAGAAGACCAATGTCGTTCTTCACTGGCTTTGTTAGAAAACTTTCCAATGTAGTATGTGCTATGGTAAATATCTAATAAATATTGAGCCCATATTTCATGCCAGGTGCCAAGCCAAGCCTTCGACTGACATTGTTACTTGTTCATTCTTACATTATCCTATGAAGTAGCTTTGCTTGTCGACAGTTTACAGACCTGAACGTCGAGGCCCACAGGGTTTACATTACTCAGCCCAGGGTCTCACGGCCACTTGGGAATGAAGTGGGGTTTAGATTCAGTCATTTCTCGATCAAGGAGCCCTCCTGTTTCATTGACTCTGTCCTTCAGGCTTTGAGCAAATTAAGTAGAAAAGTCCATTTCCCTTTATTGCGAGTCAGAACAATCTCTGCCACACCCTTGGGATGCTGTTGCTACTCAAAATACGTTCACTGCTGATCACTTTGTTTTCTAGAGACCTTCAAGGTAGCAAATCAATGCAGAAAAATAACTATAATATCCTAGTGTTAAATTTGATTTTAATATAACATTTGTTAATTTAGTCATTAGTTTGCCTTTAAAAGAAAGACATTTACCAGCATGCTTATAGTATATAGCCATTACAACTAATTTCCCAAATTACAATCAACATTCATCATAGTAACCATAATTTTACATAAATATGATAATAGCGATGTTATGCACACTTTATATCATTAACACCAGACTAAATTTACATGTGAAAATAAATGCAATGTGCTCTAGGTAATTGTTGGTAGGTTTCTGTCAAATAAGCAATTTCAAGTAATGAAATCGCTAGTAGTTTTCACCTTGATCACTCTCTGCAAACAATCTACAAAATATTTCATTAGGTGAACTGGGAACTTCAATTTCTACAGTGTAGCTACACTAAGGCTGCACTGGAATTAATCTTGAAGGTAAAATGCAGCCAACACTAATACAATATCATCAGGGGGTGATTGTCAGCTGCCATCAATGCGGGTCTGGTACCTATGACACTCTAGCGTAGGTGCCCGCCACTGACTGCTGCTGCCGCATCCGAGATAAAGCCACTGCCCTGGCCCTGACCACGGCTGTCTTCTCAGTCCACACCTCCTGCTCAGCCACCACCAGCTTCTACTCTTCTCTTGTTGTTGATATCTCTTGGTTAAGTTATGCAGCAGGACACGTTGCAGTTCCTGGCTCAGACTCTTCAGCTGAGTAGCATTCAGGCTGCGGGAGAACCTCACACAGGAGAGGAGGCGCTTTGCTGCCCTCGCGCCCCTGCCCCTCCGGCCGCTGACGGACATTCCAGGTGGTTGTGCCTTCCTTTACTCATCCTGACTTCACAAAGCCTTTCTTCCAGGAGCTGGCCATGAATATGTGAGCTTTACCTCCTCAACATGACAGGTTGTGTTGAAAATATAATTCTACCAATTTTAATACTTTTTGATCTGCCTCCCCGCCCCTGTCCTTTTCATCACCGGTGGCCGTCAGTTTAGCTCAGGCTTTCGTCACTTCCTGTCTGGACTCTTGGAATAAAGAGCAGCTACAGCTGCCCTCCCCCCATCCACGGTTTTGCTATCCTTGGTTTCAGCTACCCACGGTCAATCACAGTATGGAAATATTAAATGAAAAATTCCAGAACAATTCATGTTTTAAAAAACTGTGCACCATTCTGAGTACGGTGATGAAATCTTGTGAGGTCCTCCTCCATCTGCCTGGGACATGAATCATCCTTTTGTTCAGCGTCTTCACACTGTAGACGCTCCCCACTCTTAGTGACTTAGTCTGTCACTTAGTCACAGTCTTCATTATCAGATCGACTGTCATAGTATTGCAGTGCTTATGTTCAAGTCACCCTTATTATTATTTAGTCATGGCCCAAAGCCATTCATTTAACTTTTATTAAGGCACCACACTTCCTGATTTAAAATATATTACAAATTTATAATAATCAAAACAGTATGGTACTGGCATAACGACAGACATATAGACCAATAGAACAGAATAGGGAGCTCAGAAATATATATGCAGTCAACTGATTTTTGATAAGGGTGCCAAGAATACACAATGGGAAAAGGGAAACGATAGTTTCTTCAAAATGGGATTAGGAAAAATGGATATATACACCCAAAAGAATGAAATTGGACTCTTACACTGTACACAATTATCTTTTAAAATGGATTAACAGCTGAAACCATAAAACTCTAAGAATTAAACATGGGGGGAAATGTCATGATATTGGAATTGGCAACAATGTCATGGATGTGACATCAAAAGCACAGACAACAAAAAAAAACAAATAAACAAGTTGAATTACATCAAACTAAAAAGTACGCAGCAAAGGAGACAACAAAGTGAATAGGCAACTTATAGAATGGGAGAAAATATTTACAAACTGTATATCTGATAAGATGTTATCTCCAAAATATGTAAGAAACCCCTATAACTCAATAGTAAAAAAAAAAAAAAATCTAGTAACCCAGTTTAAAAAATGGGCTGAGGACTTGAGCAAGCATTTATTTCTTTGAAGAATACATACAAATAGTCAAAGGTACATTAAAATATGCTCAGTGTTACTAGTAATCAGGGAAATGCAAACCAAAACCATCATAATATGTCACCTGATGCCTACCAGGATGTCTATCATCAAAAAACTGAAAGATGGTAAGTGTTGATGAAGACATGGAGGATTTGGAAAACTTGCACACTGTTGGTAGGAATGAAAAATAGTGCAGCCACTATGGAAAACAGTGCAAAGACTTTTTAAAAAACTAAAAATATAACTACCATATGATCCAGTAATCCCACTTCCTAATATTTATCCAAAAGAATTGAAATAGGGAACTCAAATTTCCCTCTCATGTTCATTGCAGCTCTATTCACATTAGCCAAGATGAAGAAACAATGAAATGTCCATGGGTGGACAAATGGATAAAGAAAATGTGGTATATACATACAATGAAATACCATTCATCCTTAAAAAGAAAAAGGAAATTCTGTAACATGCTACAGCATGGATGAACCTTGAGGACAACATGCTAAATGAAATAAGCCATCATAGAAATGCAAATATTGCATGATTCCTCTTATATTAAGTATCTAAAATAGTCAGAGTCATTGACTCAAAGAAAGAAATGGCAATTGCCTGGGGTTGGGGGAAAGGGGAAGTGGAGAGTTAGTAGTCCATGGGCATAAAAAGTTTCAGTCAAGCAAGGTCACTAAGTTCTAGAGATCTACTGTACCACATCATACCTGTAGTCAACAATAATGTATTATACACTTAAATATTTGTTAGGAGGGTAGATCTCATGTTGAGTGTTCTAACCATAATAATAATGAAAAAGAATAAGAAGCTAAAAAAGCAAAAAAAAAAAAAAAACTAAAAATCAAGCTCGAATTTTCCAACTAAAAAGACTAAATCCCTTTTAGTGTCTAAAAGCAAGTCACATTAAAGAAAAAGTGGAAGACTTACCTCAAAACTCACTGCTCCATTGTGGTCTGTGTCAAATGCATTGAACAGAAAATGTGCATATGTTGTAGAGTCTAAAATATTGAAAAGGGAATATCACTTAGTCAGCATTTCAATAGCTTATGGAAGAATTGTATAGCATGTCCAAGTCCAAGTCCAAGTCAGGAGAACTTACTGTGTCTCCTTTAACTGTGCTTTTTCCCCCAGTTTCCCACCTGCTTTCCGTAGAGGACTCTAATTTGAAATTCACAGGAGTGAGCTACCCACACAGAAGCCACTGATGACAGACATCTCTGTAATTTTCTGGCTGGAATGCTCTGGACACATGGGAGTCTTGGGTGATATTCCTGACTCCATTCTAGGACAAGTAATAGGATCATTGGTGGGTGGGAGGATTAAGTGAGACCCATTTGGAAATGGCTTATTGTTTAGCAGGGACTATCTCTAGAAGTAAAATAATCAAAATACTACTAATGGGACACAGACAAATTGCTATTATTAGTGTCATTTATCAATTTTACAATTTAGATAAGCTACTGAGACTCAGAGAGGTGAGACACTTGCCCAAAGCCACACAGTCAATAAGGAGTACAGTGGGACATAACTTGGGTTTTTTCTGACTAAAAATCCAGGCTCTCCCATAGTCAGCAAAGTTGAGACAGCAGTGACTTGAGAAGTGTCTGTCTCCTTGTTCGAAGGGGATTATGGGGCCTTAAAGGTTCCCAGTGGCCCTGCCTGGGTCCTGGGTGGGATTCAAGGCTTTAAATAATGATACACAGTTTTGGAAGGCTCTCTGTCCCAATGTCTTATGATGATGCCTAGTGACTCTCTCCCAGTAGGTTTTTTTTCCTTCTAATCCATCCTTCCTTCCTTCCTTCCTTCCTTCCTTCCTTCCTTCCTTCCTTCCTTCCTTCCTTCCTTCCTTCCTTCCTTCCTCCCTCCCTCCCTCCATCCCTCCTTTCCCTCTTCTCCTGTTTCTCCTTTGCCTCTCTAATCTCTGAGCTTTCTGCTTTCTCATTTTAGAGGTATATACATTTCCTTATTATTTTCTTTTTTTAGTGCAGCTTTCATTTTTAAGTGTTTCTATGCTTGACCCTTGATCAAATCTACCTGACTGTTTTAAATGTTTCATCTCATGGGCTTCAGCCTTTTACTTTAACCTTTTTTATATTAAAAAAGTATAACCTTTTAGTTCATTGGCTGTAGCCTTCTATCTTCTGTTGAAAATCCATTCTTACTTTACAACTTTTAACCTTTATTTTTATTGGGATTTTTAACAAAACTTCTACTCACCTTTTGCTTTATGAATTTCTTTTTAAAGTTTGTCAAAATATCTCCTATTCCCCTTTTACTTTATGAATTGCTTTTCTAAAGGTTGTCAAAAAAACTAAGTCACAGTAGCAGGAGTAGAGAATTGTCCTCCCAAATAAGGGAAGTCAGAGGTCATGCAAATGTCTTTCCTAGCTCTCAAGTGCCCATACCTCCTTACAGGTTATTTTTCCTGAATGTGCTATCCCAGTGCATTCAGGAAAACGATTTTGAAGGCCATGTCTTTTATGAGATAGATCGTACACTCAGTTTCTCAAAATAATGGTGGCATTTTCTTTCCCCCCTTACCTTTCAGTATGATATAAGGAATTGCTTAAACATATGAATTATCAATGCTGTTTTCAATGAACTAAACAGGTACTGCAATTGGGTCTAAATAATATGTAAAGCCATTATATCCAGAGTGGATGTCCATCGAGTATTGACAGTCTGCCAGAAGAAACCCTTGACTATGGGACCAGGGAGTTAATTGCAACCAACTTAGTGTAACTGGTATGGAGTTCCATTGCAGAGTTATGAAGGATGGGTAGCCTATTTTTATTCGCAAAGCTGTTTTGGTCTCAGCAGTATTCTTACACAGAGTTCTAGAACTATTAAGTTCCCTATGGAGACATGAGCTGACAAGTAGAATGTTTAACTTATTTCAGGGAGAACAAAAAGAGATTTTGCATATTTTATAATGAGCTTCATTAAGCAGGTCTCTTGTTACTCTATCTATATAATCAGGGTGAATGCTTTTACTTTAGCAAGCAGCATTCACCATGACTAATGACTCTGAACAAGCAATGTTGAGAAATTTTTTTTAATTCAACAAATGTGGGCATACATAATTACCATTCTTCTTCAAATTATCTGCTCTTGCTTTAAAGTTTGACATGCGGGGCATATACTTTCAAGGTTTACTCTAACATGGGATGCGTAGACTTGTGTAATGAAAGGCACTGAGGTTTCCGGTGGCATTTGGACTTCTGGCAGGTGCTTGCAGACACTGAAAGCTTTTAAAAAGGGGGAGGAGCACTACTTGCTGTGACTAGGCGAGAGGCGGGAGCTGAGGCACCGGAAGCGTTTGGCTGGGCACAGAGGTGGACTCATGAAGAAAAGGAAGACTGCCCACAAAATGTCTAAGGTCTGGTTCCACCTGACTGTGTTTTTCTTAGATACTCAGTAAGCATTCGCTAAAAGAAGGAATAACGGGTATCCTGGATTCTACATTTCAGTGCAGTTCAGGGCTCAAAAGATATAATAGTACTCTCTCTTCTCCCCATGTGACCTTATTGTTCACCTTTCCTTACACATAACAAAAATAGCTACTGAGTTTGATATGCCGAGATTGCCTCTGTTTCTTATAATTTTACTTGTGAACTTGAAATTTTACGGTTAGGGCTCAAAATTGATGGGTTCTTAGGCTTGGAAGGGATCTTGTTTAACAAAGGTAAAAAAGAAATGCAGGTACTTTTAGTAACTTAGCTTCAGTGACCTAGTTAGTTAATGGTAGAGTCAGCAATAAAATCAAGACATCTCAGAACCAACTCTTAAAATAAAGATTATTAGAATAGAAAGAAAATCGAGGATACTTTGTTCCACATTTTATAGATGCTGTAAAAATTTTGCTCCACATTTCAAAGAGAAACAACCTGAGACCCAGAGAAAGAAACCACTTGAAAAACATGCCTTGGTGATGGCATAGTCTGGCCACAAACTGAGGGCTCTTGACTTAGTCCAGTGCCCTCAACCCAAGTATTTCCAGACCCCAATAACAATATGAGTTAAAGCCTTCATTGAAACACTGTTGATACACACCCATTTCAGAATATTAGATTATGATGTTTCATATCAAAGGATTGAAATCAGTCTAGTTGATTTCCTTCTTCCCATCACAAATTCCGATTTCTTACCTGACTTGAAGCACAATGTATGGAATTAGCTTAATGCACTTGACTATGCAGTGCATGGTGCATGGCACTGTTGCTATGGTAAGGCAGGTTCCTATACACAAATAGCCGTTTCTGTTCAATGAAAACCCTTTATAAGTCACCCTGAAACTTCTTACAAATATTTTCCTGGATATTCAGTGATGGAGTTATTTTAAAAATTAGAAAAATATTTATGTTCATCAAACTTATCTAAGGGCCTCAAGTACATTGAACACAGTCATTGCTCAATAAGTATTTGTTGACTTGGAATCTTTTGACTGGAGCTCCTTCTTTCATTTCTTCAATAGCTGTTTATTGGGTGCCTAGTATAGTCAGAGTGCAAAATTCTTACAATATAAGCAGGAGTAGCCCAGGAAACTGCAATTTTTATGAGCTTTAAAAATGCTTAGTGCGCTAAGGGCACCCGTTCTCAAGCTTTCACTGTATGTGAAGTTGAAAAAGTATTGTTGTAAGGACCCAGGTAAGAGATCCAACAAACCACATCTTCTCAGTTTGTCTTATAGCAGTCAGACTTCATCCCTGACAAACAAGAAACTTCTGTTCAACTCTGCTGTGCTGGCATCCAGAACACCCAACAAGCTGGGCTTGGTAAACCATCTCGCTAAGCAATAGAGAAAACTAAGATCCCAATACGATATAAATTGCAGGAGGTTCTGCAGATGCGACATAGCATCTTCCTGGAGGAAATGGAGAGACACTGTGATGTATGGAGACATCACTGTGACTGCTCATGAGGAGGTAAAAGTGCTGCTTTCAGATCAGGAACCCAAAGAAATGGATTCATGGAAGTGTGAGGGTGGCCATCACATGAATTTGCCTGCCATTGGAGATGACATTCTTCCTTAGGTCTTCTTCTCTTTTCTAGGAATGCTGCAAGATGCAATTTGCATGCATGCTATGATTTTTTTAATGGCAGCTCATTGTTCCTTAAAATATTTCCTTTCCTTTATTTATTATACCTGGTACTTTTTGATTTATGCATTCAATTAGCATGAATAATCAAAGAAATTTTAAGAGTACAAAAGTCATTTTTCTCCAAATCCCTTTGGATTTTGTAACAAGAATCCTTTGCAAAGGAATGCAGATATTCTTTAATGCCATAATGTTATTTCTCAAATAAAGATAAATTTTTAATATGGAACTGTACCTAACTTGTAGCATGTAATAACTTTCATTTGAGATGATCAGAAAATGAAGATTTCCATTTGTGCTAGGTGCTTTGACACGATTGTCTATTAATACATTGACAGACACTTAAGTATATAATAAATACATTTTTTCTTAAAATGTTCCATGGTTTTTAATAATATAGAAATGTATGAGTTTATATGAGTTAATCAAATAATATTCCAAGTTCTTTATTAATGCAGACACTGGACCCATTGCAATCTAGCTGTATGCGTGAAACCTGTCTGTGGGCTGTCAGTGATGAGATGGGGTGGGGAGTTGTCACCCACAACATGTCTAAATTCATATAATAATGGGTCACACAGAACTGAATTCTATTTAACTCCTTTTAAAAGGCCATCTTGTGAAAATTTCTATTTTGACAATCCCTGTACAAAATCGTTTCAATCCATTGAAATATCTAATACCAACTCTGTTGAAAACTGAAAGAAAATCTAATTTTTGTATAAAACAACAAATATTTAGGTGTTGTAAACTTTCAAAATGCCTAGTACAGATATTATTCCATCGTAGTGCTATAGCCACCGCGTGAGGGGGATATCATTCAGCCATCCATGTGTTCACTCATTTACGTAGTGAGGGTCTATCGAGGGCTACTTCTTGTTGTCATTGTGCCACAGCCGGTGAAAACAGCGTGAACAAAACAGACTGCTCCCTTGGGGATGACATTGTAGTGGGGGAAGAACAATAAGCAATAACAAAAAAAATAGGTTAAATAGTCTATATCATGAGCTGCTGTCAGGTGCTAAAGCACAGAATAAAGGAAGGGGCATGGGGACATTTAAATGGGTGCAGTTTAAGACAGGGTGGCATTTGGATAGAAGCAAATGTGGTGAGGCATTGAGATGGATATTGGAGAAAAGAGAGTTCCAGACAGAAGGAGCAGTAAGTTCAAAGGCCCAGAAGCAGCAGCACCACAGTCTTCTTGGAGGAACGGTTAAGGAGGCAAAGTGGCTGGAACTTGGTGAGACAACAGGCACAGTGGGAGTGTGGAGAAGGGGAGGGAACAGGAGACCAGCGACCACAGCTTGTACGTCCCCACGTGGGTTGTGATGGAAAGGTGGAGCAGTGCAGTGACCTGATGTGGCAGGAGCACTCAGCTGGTGTTGAGAACAGACCATGGTAGGTAAGCGGGGAGGAAAGTTGGAATCGGAGGGATGAATTTGGAGACTATTGAGTTATTTTGACGTGAGATGGTGGTGGGTTTTTTAAGATGACAGCAGTGAAAAAGATAATGGAAAGGAAATGGATGAACGTCTCTGTACCTTAGATTCCACATTTGTTTAAAAGGGAGACTCATTTCTAGGGTCATTGGAAGGTGAGCAGTAGTGCACGCCATGGTCCAACCCATGTGAGACGTCGCCTAAGGGGTGGCTGCCTCAGCTCAGGTGTGGTTTGTCTGGAGAGCCTCATGCTCATTTCCTCCTTTTCCTTCAGCTGCTATACTTGTCCTACCTTGAGCTTCCATGATAGCAGATTTTAAACCTCTATCCCTACACTTACGCTTTATTTTGATAATGTCCATCTGCCACACTAGACCATAACACTCTTTTGGGGCAGGTGTCACATCTTATTCCTTTTACATTACCAACACCTCACACATAGCTGGGCACAAAGTAGGCTGTGTGACAAGTTTGAGCTGGACATCTTGATGGGTAGTTGAAGGAGAAACAAAAAGTTTCAATGGCCAGCATGTCTCTTTACTCATCTCTAACACGTATGTATTATCATTTTTGAATCCTGTTTTCTTTCCAAATAAGATACTATCTACAGTGGTATCATTTTTCTCAGGTGGGTGTTGTCACAGTAAAGTCACTGAAAAATAGAGAAACAGCAGAGAGCACACTGCGTGAGGCTCCAAAGAAATCTAGGTTCTAACCCAGATTTACCACTTAATGGATGTGTGGCCCTGGGCCAGCCATTTAATTTCTCTAGGCCCCAGATTTCACATCTGTAAATTGAGGATAATTACATTTGTCCTAATTTTGAGTTGGGAGAATCGGATGAAACCTATAAAGCACATGAAAGTTTCAAGGCAGAGGACCAGGCCATCATAGTCAGAAAGTGTTGTGTATTCGATATCCACGATATTAGGCACACGGTAATACTGCTTGTTGTGTTAAATTGAAGAGCAAACTTGTGGACAGGTGACAATTTGTAAGGAGTTTGTTTTTCTGAAATATTGAAAATTATATGCCCTTGTATACTGGATTAATTTTTTTACATAATGATTAAAGATGTATGGTCATGCTGGGAAAGAGGAAAGCGAACTCAGGATTGCAAGCATAAGTAGCCCAGCAGGGTATTAGTATACAAGGGTGACACGCAAGGAGAGTGACCTCACCAAATGGCCACATAGGTCAATGCCAACACCACTCCCCCTCACAGAAAGAACAAAGGACAAGTATTCATGAGCCAAAACCACTGAGAAAATCTTAAAACGTGGGGATGAGGCTAAAGTGCCTGCTGTCCCACAGAGACCAAGAAAGAGTGTATGAGAAGGGGAAGAGAAACAGCTACATGTTTACTGCATTGCCCCTCCCCCAGGCCACTGCAGCACCAAGTCGGGGAAAAGAAAAAAGATTGCAAGCATAGTTCTAACTGAGGGTACTTTAACAAGTCCACATTTGTACTTACCTCCCTGTGGAAAGAATTGTGAGTAAATCTCTTTGAAGGTTTCTTCGTTAACGACACCGCTGGGGCATTCCTGGAGAAGGTGGTAAAGAAGCAATATGAACACAGTGTTCATAAAACTAATGCTTTGCACATTTTTAAAACGAACTGACTATTAGGTAAAGCTGGACCAAGTAAGTTAACCATGTAGCCGTTACTACAAAGAGAATAAAGGCACACTCTAAAGTTGTCTTTGTCTCAGTTCTCACAGAATGAAAACAATTGCAGATCTAAAAATCTTTGCCTATAAATGTCAGAGCTGGTCTGATACATTCAGAAACACACTGCGCCTTGTAAGAGTACATATGTTTATTAGCAAACAGGGAAGAAGAAATGACATTGTTTTTCACAAAGCAAGGATATTGCAAGATGCTTGACATAGTCTTTGCTGGGTCTTGGTGCTAGATGACTCAACAATCATCTGGGTGGTCCTCTGGAGATTTTCTGACCTACAAAATCTTTAGTTCAGTGAGGAAATGGGTGCTTTTTTTGGGTCAAAGGTAGCCTGGCCTGAGAAGTTTCAACCAGTAGCAGTTACTAGTTTGTGTTAACAGTTTATTAAGAAGTGTAAAATGACTTGGTTTGTAATGAGGGACATTTATGGGGATTTATTTTAATTTCTCAAGAGGAGGGCCTGAAAAGAAACAGGCCTGAAGGTAATGAATTCCGACCCTTGAAGAGCTTGATGGGACCGTAGGGCAAGGCTACCCCTCTCAGAGTGCATTGGGCATTTTCGGGACAAGCAACTGAATATTAGATGCTAGAAGGCGTTTGTCTGGGTGAGGAAAATGAGGACTAGAAGCTGACCTTAGACAGGAGTGAGGGCCAAGCTTCCTCCACCTTTGTAATTACATGAGCAGTCTGGGGCAGCGGAAACTGACAACCACACGCCAGTCCAACATGAAGTCACCTGTGGGTTGCTAGCTGTGCACTGAGCTGAGAAAACGATAAGCTCTGCCTAGGCCTTTTTATTAGCTTCTCACGAACAGTCCCATGTTACCTGAGCCCCCTTGGGTCAGTTGTCACAGGACCTCCAAACTACCTGGTATTCTCCTAGGATTCCCTGGAGAAGAATTGGGGGTGTGTTAAGGTGTGTTAACGTCTTTCACTTTAGGGATGAATATTCTGTGTAGTTTGAACTCGACACTGTGCCTGGGATCTTCAGTAATTGTCTGGTGTGGTCTTTAAAGCTTCTCCTAACCCTTACAATCATTGTCCACTTACAAGTAAAGTTGACTTATTAGTCTGATCTTTCTTTATTCCAATAAGCCAGTTACAACTGTACTGTGCTTCACATGAGAAATTTTCTGTTTTTTCATTTTTTTGAAAAGTAACACCTCAGATACATAAACACAATTTTAAATAATAACTTAAATATAAACTTGCTTTTGGGGAGCTTATCTGTGTACATTTCTCCCACTTAATTTTTACAGTAAACCTATGACTTGAGTATCTTCATTTGTAGAGGCAGAACCAATTGGAAGCTCTTATGAGTAAAGCACTGTTAACTCAGCTATGCACTGGGAGAGCTGGAAGGTGAGTTTGGGACTTTCCAGGTCACCACAAGTTTTAGATTAGATGAACCCTGGAGAAATAATGACCCCGAGAATCCGTACCCCCAACTAAAAGAAAAGTAAAAACAAAGGAGCGAAACAACAAACAAGCAAACTGTGAAGGTTAATTTCATGTCAACTTTTCTGGGCCATGATGCCCAACTGTTTGATCGAACATTATACTGGATGTTTCCATAAAGTGGTTTTGGATTTACATTTAAATAGGTAAACTTTGAGTAAAGCAGATGGCCCTCCCTAGAGCGGGTGGGCCTAATCTAATCAGTCAAAGACTTGAATGGAACCAAAGGCTACTGAGCAAGAGGGAATTCTCTAGCAGTAGCCTTTGGATGTGAAGTGCAACACCACCTCTTTCTGTTTGTATATCAGATTGCCTTTGAACTTGAACTGCAACTCTTGAGCCTCCAACTTGTCTGTCTCCACCATTAGATTTTGGACTGGCTAATTTTGTACAATTACTTAAAATAAATAGTGAGCCAATTACTTAAAATAAATATCTCTCTGTATATATACACATCAATTGATCCTGTTTTTCTGGGGAATCCTGACTAATCCATAAAGGAATGAATAATCAACAGATAACTCAAGAAACGAAGATGACATGTATGTAGCTAATCACTCCAGAATTTTGACTAAATGACTCTATCTAGTTCGCAGCAACAGAACCAATTTTAAAAGCAAATAAGCACTTTGTAGTTAGATCCTTTCACACATGGAAATTATGATTTATGGGCTATTTAACTCGGCACCACCTGCTTGGGAGAGTAAGAAGAGAGCAGCAAATGGATGGCCCTCTGCCATCAGGTGATGAATTTGTGCAAGGTCAGAGCTGGAAACCTGCCACAGAGTAAAGCGATGCTAGCGGAGGGTGAAGTTGGGAAGTGAAGAGACATCTACACTCAACTAATTTGTCAGCTGCCTTTGGTTGCTAGAAGCATTTGATAAATATATCTTATAATGTAAAATAAAATTTAGAAATTGACTGTCATATGTATTTATTTTATGTTTTATCATATGTCTATATCAGACAAAAATCCTTTCTCTGCCAGTTGAAAGCTCCTGGTCAATTTTTAAGGGTGGTAAGTCTCATGAGGTAAATTTGTCTTTATCCATCTCACATTCATTACATTAATTTACATCTTCAACCAATAGGTATTGGCCACTTATTATTCTAGAAATTTTTCTAGGAACTGTGTCATCAGCAATAAGCAAGTCAAAGGTCTTGCCCTCACAGGGCCTATATTCAAATAGAAGGAGAAAGATCCAAAATGAGACAAAAGATGATAGAAATAACAATCCAGAGAGTGTAAAGGAAACCAATGCATTTTACTACTTTAACATGAGAAAAATTAACCAAATTCTATGGGACTATAGTGATTTTAAAAATGGTACCGATGGACTATTATCTACCTTTTTCCCCATCTCTTTCATGGAGTGGTTTATTCACAAGAGTGGTATCTCCATCAAGAATGAATTTGGCCAGGCCATGTGCACAGCTAAGTGTACACAGTAGACAATGTGGCTGTGTTAGGTAGGTTATCTCTTGCTGCTGTAACAATCAGGTCCTTCAATATGTAACGAATTAAAAAGAATGTAGTCTATTTCTTGCTCATCTAAGAGACTTGGGTGGGTAAACACATTAGCTGATGGTTCTTCTATTGAGAGGCTAATGGAAGTTTGGCTATTTTTAACATGTGCCTTCTCAAGTCCCTGAGACTGTCTCACCCAAGAAGAGTACAAGAGCACTGGGAAGTGTGCATGGGAGGTGTTTATGGGCCAGGTCTTGAAGTAGTACACATCATTTCCACTCTTACTTTGTTAGTTAGAAATCCCTTAATATGTCCACCCTAGATAATCATAAGAAGTCTCATGTGTCTGAGAAGATAAGAATACAGATTTATTTGGTGAACTGTTTGCAATGTCTGTCTTGATGCCTTATTTGAAATATACTCCAAATGTCTGTGTTCCAAAATAGTTCTCCCATGGATGCTTTAGTATCACCGTCAACAAATCATTTAGAAGCATCAAGTCTTTTCCCCTGGTGTCATTTTAATATTATGATATTTTCAAGCCAACATATCAAATCAGGCTTAAACATCTTAGCACGCATTTTTCATTAGGGTTTCTTCAGTCTAAGAGCCCCCGCATTTAGGGGGCTCTATACTTTAAGAAGACACTATAATGTTCTATAAGCCCTTATGACTTCTATATTATATGCTCTAAAGATATTTTGTTTGATTATTAACAAATGGTTGTTCTGTGAAAATATACTGGCTACAGAAAAAAAAATAAAGCAAATAAAAGTTGCCCATAATTGTACTCCTGTAAGATCATTTTGGTCATTTATCTAAGCACATATTAGTATGCTCTACAAATAAAATAGGGACAATATAAGAATATGATATTGTATCTTATTTTTCTAACTTTACAAAATATCCTGACCATTTTCCATGTCATGATTTTTAATGGCTGTATAATAATGTATCCATTGAATTTACCATATTGTTGGATAGTAAGAGGATTTCAGTAGTTTTGACTACATAGGAACAATGATATTATTAATATTCTAGTGCATACATCTGTGACTGCACCTGCGGTTCATTCTTTATGACTAATCCCAGTAGGAGACTCACAAGACCAAGGAGTTTAAGCTCTTCCTTTGCACAGTCACATTGCTTTCCAGAAAGGCTGTACCATTATGTGCTACATCCACAGGTTTATGAGAAAGTTTTATATCAAGAGGGGCTGCTGTCTATAATCACATGGGGATTTGACATACATCAAATCCCATGAATAAAGAGCATTAATTTGCTTCCCTCATGAATCTAATTGTCATTCCGAAAATTGCCAGAGGACATCGAGGCATTTGCACAAATCCCTCCAAGGGATAAAGTGATATTCCTGTTTTCAACAATCTGTAGGGCCACGTGATTGCAATGACAGCTGTTTACTGAGCCCCTATTCCTTCTTACAGACATCATCTGTTTGATCATTTTTTACCAACCCCAAAAGGTAAGAATTATTTACAGCGGAAGAAATGAAGCTCAGAAATCAAAATTAAGTAAAATGTTGGGCGATGGTTTTTCACAGAGCCATCCACTTATTTATTCTTTTAACAAATAGTTATTCAGTAACTTCTCTGCATGAAGCACTGCTCTGCTCTTTGGGGAGATAGGAATGAGTTTAAAAAATTCAGGTTTTGCTCTTATGGAATAAAAGTTCAGCAAAATAAAACTCATATACTCTTGCCTCCACTAATTGCAAGGTTATCCTGTGTGGGGATTATCATCTATTTTTCCATTAAAACTGCAAGGTGGTCTCCTGGTAAACCACCTGCAGAAATACTTCCTTTGGAAAGACACGCAATGTCTGTTTGCTCCCAGAGCCAAATGTAGCCACTTCAATTAAAACTGGGGACATTGATTAAAAATGTATATATTATAAATTGTAGTTTGAGAACTTG